GGGATTGATTCTCGCGGCGATGCACAACACCCAAACATGGCGTTTGCAAAGGCTTTTGTTGCGAAACTTTTGAGGGACTTTTCGTCGAGGGAATCGGCGAGGAGAGTGTTGGATAGAGCGTTCGAGACGAGTCTGAAGGTAGTGAAGGAGTTGTTGGAGGAATATTCGAATCCGGACTTAAGGGGAGATCATAATGAGACAGAGGCAATTCAGAGGTTGAATTTGCACAAGGCAATGACGAATGCAAGGCATTTGTTATGGTTGATTGAGAGGATGATTGAGCTGAGAATGGCTGATAAGGCGGTGAAAGACTGGAGTGACCAGGCTTCGTTCACCGCAGATTTGCAGAGGACGTTTCGCGATGATGCGTGGAGAAATATCGTGCCGGGGCTTCCTGCTCTCGTGCTTCGGTGCACTCTCAAGCTTGCCAATGCCGTTACCTCTGGGTCTATTCTGGCTGCTAGACAGGTTTGAATTTCAGTTTTGTAGTCATTATTGATTTGATTTTTCTAGAGAAGATTGTTGCAAAGCAGAATGTTTAGAATTAGCACTGATTTTGCAATTTAATGCTTGGTTTCTTTCACCATATGTCAAATTTTGAGCAATGGATTTTCGATTGCAAAAAATTTGTTTACTGGCGTGGACTAAGTTGATTTATATTTTTGTTATTGAGGTGATAGTGATGTCAACAGGGGCTGATCCTTTGGTTTTAGTTAAAGGTATATTTGTAATTGACCTCAACTATGTTCGGAGCTATGCATTTTAATTCCAATTTATCTGATCAATAGTCTAGTAGGTAATAATACTTCAGGAGGATAACTTAATTAGAAGAGGAAGTGGATTGTCAGTGTTTTAGTTAGTGGTCTTGAGCTCCCAAGTCCAGTAATTTTAGCCACTCCTATGCTTCTCATGTTTTAATGCATGTGCGCCTCCTTCCTGTGTTGTGAGTGATCATCTTACACAACCATTAGCAGAATTGTGATGTAGTTTGTTGTTGACATATAAGCTCTGCTCATGACAATTTTTGATTGTGAAAGTAGGTCAATCCCATTGAGTAACTGCATTTCAGCTGTTGAATTTCAAATCGATACCCTTGGCACCTCTGCAAAAGGAGCACAACATTCATGCTAGATTTTGCTGCTCTTTTTTGGGTAATGATGTGAAGAGATGAAGCATATGAGAGAAGAGGAAGTCTCAGTGAATTTGCTGTAGTACTGTCAGTAGGTTTTGTGATGCATGATGGATGGGTGTTGGAAGGCCTTGAAAGAGTTTAGAGTATATAGGATTTCAAAGATGTTAGTGATTTATGCAGGTTTACACTAAGTACTCTACTAAGTCACATAGGAGGGCGACATGGAGTTATAGGAATTAGGTATGTTTTGACGGCACTGGAGTACGACATAGAAGATGTGCTATACACAACAGGCACCTTTTAGCCATGTTTACAAGTTTATGATAAAGAACGATACATATTGTCAAAGCTACTCTCTCTCTGTCATATATATGAGACTGATATATGTATGTCAGTCCGTCCTTGCTTCATACGCCTGCCTTTGGTTGGCCACCCCTTCTTCTAAATGCCCCACCTTCCCTTCCCTAAACCCAAAAGCTTCCTCACCCCTATCAACCTCTTTGGTGCTTCTATGACAGTATCGTCAAGTTAATGATTTCCCAGTTTGAGGAAGCCACCCTTCTCCTCCTGACATGCTAAGATTTATTGACTTGTTGTACTGTTGAGAGTTTCTGTTTCAGCAATTTCTTTAAACTTGCAGGTTAGCTGTCCAGATGGCTTACTTATTTCATTATTTACAGGTTAGGATGAAGCTCGTAAAAGATTGGCTTCCGGTGCTGATTGTATGCAAAGACAAAATCCCTGCCATGTTGCCAAGTCACCCATCACCATACCGCGAGCTAGAAGAAACATTCTTACGCATTATCTCTACACTGCCCATGCTGGATGCACAGGAGTTGTTGCAGCAGTGTCTCAGCTTTTCAACTCGAAATGTTGAAGACTGCCCTCATTTGGTCTCCGCGTTTAAAACCTGGTTTCGCCGTGCAAATAGATCTCCTCAAGCAGAAAACCTTTATTAGGTGCAGTCTTCCATCTTGTGAGAAGCCTATTCACAAGTGGGTTTTAGGCGTTTTCCCTGTGAAATATTGTACATATTCAACTGATGTTTAGAGAGAGACTATGTACTATGTATAACTTGTGTTTTTCTCTGTGCTGTGGAAGCAAATTGGCTTGAATAAGTCCGAAGCTCGTTAGTCTACATACCTGAAAAGTAGGTGCCATAACAGGTTGCAAGCTTGCATCGACTACTTGTCCATGTAAAACTTATTATCCATAAATACAGGTGGTAAAAATCAAGTTAAAAAGTTATTGAATTTTATAAGAATTCATATAAAACATGATTTAGAGATGAAAGAAAATTCAAAATTCAAAATAAAAAATATTCTTTGTAAGTACCAATCAAACATGTTAGTCAGTCCAGATTAGACATTGCTTATTACCCTAATCTGTTTCATTATTTGTAATAGTTGTTCTTGCCATTTTTGAGTTCGTGTGGAGAACTAATCAATTGTAATCCGTTAACTCCGTGTCATGTTTGTGTTTGAGAGGGAGAAAGAAATTATTTTGAACTCTTTTCTTGGAAATTATTAGCAGCTATACTGATCCAGATAATTGGTACAAGCTAAGCTATCAGAATCCATTGAAGAGATCTGCATCTCTTCCATCACCAAAACCTTACTGCTATCAAAACACTTCTGATAAAAAAAAAGCCTAACTAAAACAAAAAATTCACAGAAATTAGAAGCCACAACAGACTGCACTAGCCGCATGAAGAGGATCATGACTGGTACCAATATATATTCATCCTACATAATTCAATGCAGGAAATACAGCGAAAATTCCTGCATAATGGATGTACCTTCAAAAGCCGGTATTCTGTGTATCATGAAGTGGAGGAGGATAGACCATGTCGGTGTCACAGGCCACATGAGGAGAGGACAAATCATAGTAGCTGTCTTCTGAAGTTTCTGGTGGTTCCTTGGTAGGTTCGAACCAGTAATCCCACACCTATCCCAACTCCGAGACACATGCTGAGGCCAATTCCAACACCCACCCTCACGCCAGCATTGAACCACGATAGCTCTCCATCTTCACTTTCTAAATATTCTATCCCTGAATAAAGAGGGTTATATTCTTCGTTTTCTGGCTTGTAAGTCGCATAGTCTGCTACCTGCAAAACCAAAATAAAACAAAAGGCATAATTTATGATGCAAAACTAAAGCAGACTTGTAGCAAAGAAAGATGAGTGCATGTAAAAATAAAACAAAGATAACCAACCATCCTCCTGAAATAATTTTTTGGAGAAAACTAGAAATATGGAAACCAACCCTGCTTCAAGAAGCAGAGGAGGGGTTGCCAGTTGTTACCATAAGAACTTCAATTGTAAGCCGCCTTTCCATCATATGAAAGTAATTGACACAAAAATCACTCCCAATTAACCACTTAACATAATTTGAAGTGGAATGGAAAAATCTAAAGTTTATGTTAGTGTGCTATGGAGGGAGAGTGAGTCAGCATAGATCTTAGATTGACATGGTACCTGAAAAGGCGGTGCTATTTAGATATTAACTCAAAACCAAAAAGGCCAGCATGCCAAGCAGGATTGTAACAATCAAGGAAAGTTCTCTCAATTTTACAGAAATATAGGAATGCCATGAAAAAAAGTTTCGCCAAACTATATACAACATAATGGCATTTAACACAAGTATGTCACCAAATGAAATCATTAGCACATTTTATTTCCATATTATCATAATGGTTTGGAAAAAGTTAACAAGAATCAGAAAACAGTGTGTGGAACCTATATCTATGAAGTTCAACAGAAAGAATTATATACTCATACACACAAAAAGCGGCCTATGTTTCTTTAAAAGGGAGGTAATACGTTAACTTGTATTAGAGAGTAAGCTAAGCATCATAGAACAAGGATATCAACAATTCTCGGGGCAAAGGAATGGCCAGTCATTGAGCTGCAAATGACAGTGATGAGCAATTAGGTTATTTAGCTGACTTGCCCATTTATGTGTAAGATGGATGAAAGATCACAAATGAGCAGCAATAGAGTTGAATAGAGGTAACACATCTGTGCATAGCCATGTGGGATACTGCTAAATTATGGGAAGATAGTCACACAACACAAGGGGGATATTGAATTATTCCATGACTTAGAAATATGTGCCAACCCTATGCCTCCTGGCTTATTTATGATAACATTTTATACGCCCTTCATAGCATCAAAGACCTATCTGCAACAAGAAGATTGCTGCAAACAAAGAAAGCATTTGTATTACACCAAGGTCTCTTAACATTGGCAATGTCAATAGTATACATACATCATGAGAGTGCAGATGAACCAAACAAGTCAAAAAGGAACCAAAATCAATAATACACATCCGAGATCAGGATTTAAGGAAAAATGAGTACCTGTAAATCAAGCTCAGATGGAACATTTTTCTGGCCTTCAGTTGCCTCACATTCTGGTATTGCTTTCAACATTCCATTCCTCGTTTGCTTCCTTCTAAAACTAAGCTTCAACGTCTTGGTCAAAATAATAGGATTACCCATGAAACAACCAGCCACATAAACTTCAATTGCTGGGGAACTTGATTCCAGGCCCATATGTTGTTTTGACTTAAAGAAGCCACTACAGGCAATTACATCTGACTCGCAATTCATGCCCCACGTCTGCCCATGATTTTCCAATTCCCCAGTGAAGCTATTACTAGTACACAATTCTAATGCCCCAGATAGCATGCAAACATCCCTATAAAAAACCTCAAACTTCACAGTCCCTGTCATCCTTATACCATCAGTACTCACAAATGTAACTTCCTCGGATTTCTTATCCAATCGGTCTCTTCTAAGAAGGGTTGACACACCATCGGAATAAATGCTAGTTCTTACACCATTTACTTCAAGAAGAGTATCGCGGTTAAGTGGAATATACTCCATTGTTAGGTGCTCAGGAGTAGAATCATCAATCTCACATTTGCTAACTCTGACATAAAAAACTCTTAAATCAAGCCAAGGTAAAGATACCTTCATATTTGGCTGATGAGGGGAGTGCCTCTTGATGTGGCCATTCTCAGCCAGTCCATTTCCATTCGCTTTCTCTTGAGAATTCTCCATGGGACTTAAAGAAACTGATCCTCCTTTATACTAAAATCCATAAGCATTAATTGAGATGATCACTTGGGAAACCAAATATAAGTAAGACTATGGGTATATGGAACCTGTGAAAATGTCAACAAATACATATCAAAGCAATTCACAAGGAGAATTTGAGACACCAGAATATTAAAGCAGCCACAAAATGGAGGAGGGTTAAAGCTTCAATAAGAGAAGATTAATTCCAACTATTCTCCATGGCAAACAGTAGGATCAACTTGAATGAACTTTCTGTTTCAATGAAGAGTTCAACAAAAAGGAGGTGGTGAACACAGAGATGAAGCTCAAGTCAATGAAAAATGAAAGCTATGAAGACATAAGAGTTGAGATAGAAGAACTGGACCCTTAGATTCATCTCTTGCTTTGTTGATTTAAACCGGGAAGGAACAAATCATTAATAAACAAGAGTAAGAACCAAGAGGACAACAACCACCTTAGCAGAGTGGAGACACTGCAAATAAGAGATAAAGTAGGGATAAGATGGTATAGAAATACAGAAAAAGAGAAGATTCAAACACTCACAGATGAAACACAACAAAACTTGTCAGCTGATGCCCTGCACAACATGGTCCCTGTCCAAAACTGATTTACATATGCAAAATTTAAAGTAAAAAGAAAGTTTTAAGTCAAGCTTATATAAAAAAATATATATATATAGAAAAATTCTGAAGAGGGACATAAACATAACCCAATTCAGTAAAAAAAATTTTAATAAAAAAAAATTCAACCATAGAGAAGCAGATTAGCCGTATAGATAGCCAAGCTGAACTGTGAAGAAGAATTTCTTTTTTTCTTCTTTAAATGTTCAATTTATAAGGTAATTAGAGACCAAAATCAAAAAATAAGGTTTCATGCGTCATTATAAAGAAGAACCACAAACTCCAACCAATGACTACCACTAAACGACATATATATCATAGATGTCATACAAACATACAAATCTCTCTCTCTCTCTCTCTCTCTGTATTTTTTTCTGGGTTTGTGTGTGTGACTGCGTGTAAACGCTATCAAATCAAAGAAAACCATAACCATTTAACTAGAATGCACAACTCACCATTAAGTATCTGAATCTTCCAAACAGCTCTGAGCCACTAACCTCTTGTGTCCTTCGCTATCCACATAATCGAATTTGAGCCTCTCTGGAGATTTTCTGGAATCGCTTTCAACACACAACAACAAACAAAACAAAACAAAGAAGATTGCGATATATAAAATCACAAAAGAAAGTCATCAAATTTAACGTTGAGAAAAGGTTGTCTTCGTTTTGTTGTTTAATTATTAATGTGGGATTCGATTGTATTACGCAAAATATGAGTATATGCTAAAGAATTCTTGGAGGAAGTGGGGCCTCTGTATATCTAACATTCCTCAGATCTTATCCATTGAAGAGACATAAAACGCAGAGGTTCACAAGGTCTATGCACTTGAAAATGATGTCCTAAAAACTTTTTTGAAGGACCAATAACAATTTGTTTATTTTATTTTTTATTTTGATCAAATAATTTATTTTATTAGTTAACGAAATTATAGTGAATTTTTTTTTTTAATTCAACGGTGAGAGGTGTCTGAGTCAACATACGTAAATCTCAATTAATTCTCTCTCTGACCGATCAAAACTGATCATTTATACTGAGATTAATGTATTCACGAGAAATAAATCGAATTATAGTGAATTTCATATTTATTAATCTTGGATATTAAAAAAGATAATTTGAGAATAGTTTCAATTTATATAAAATATAATTGTTCTCATTTAACTATAAATTTTACTTTGTACTCTAATAGATAAAAATAATGTGATATATTTATATTTTTTACATCATATTTGATGTTTAAAAATTCATTAAACATA